TAAACTTACTTATAATCGCCTAGCTGATGATGAACTAAAACAAATATTTACAAATGGGCGTTTGTTCTCTTGTTTTGAAGGTTTATCGCGTCAGAGCAAATCAAAGCAGCCAATCAGAGAAACCCTTTGCGCATTTGCGGTACGGAAAAAATAGACGCGCCCCGTACAGACAGTAGAGGCGGGCGCGGGCAGGAGGTTCGGAGTCGGGTGCCGCCATATTGATCTTTAGGAAAGTGTATTTGCGCCCGAATTTCCACTGTAGCTACACTTCAACTGACAACAGCCAATAGTCTTCAGGCTCTGATTACCGTAACCATAGATCGTTTGGCTGGGGAGTGTAAGGGCGACATTACCTAACTGATCATGTACAGCCTTCGGTATAATGTTAACTTGAGACCTAGTGTCAAGTTTAAACACTACAACTTACAAGTACAACTTCCTTCACCCTACCCGATCCCAGCTTAATCTCAGCAAATGCCTGGTCATTCGTAACTTTATTATCCCTCTCAACGGTGTCAACATAGAGCTCAGCATCACCGACTGGCTCATCATCTGACTTATACTCACCGTAAGTCAATTCAGTCTCAATTGCATGCGCATTTCCACTTCGGGTGCCGTCAGCAGCATTACGATACACTTTCGCGAAATGATTCCACTGTTTACATCTGTTGCACTGCACTGCTTTCCTTTCGTCGCGCATGTCTGTTTTGCACCGTGGAAATAGCCACATTTCCCGCACTTCTTTCATGGCACGTGATTGGGTCTTGGCGCAAACGGCAGTTTCGCTCTCTGCTCTGCTCTCAGTTTCGGTGGCGGTTGCTGTCTGCTCGCCACCGACGGACGCCACGTACTGCCTCTGTTGCGACTCGCAGCTAGGGCCTGCATACCTCCCAAATCCCATTGGTTGATACAAATCACGTGCCTGAATCTCCTGTTTTAATAAAACTTTTATGGTGCACTGTGACCCTAACCCTAATCCTAACCCTAACCCTAACCCTAAACCTAACTGTAACGTCGATGGCACTAATTATAACGTGATTTAACACAACACGAATTTAATCGGTTACAAAGCAAGCAATGGCTAATACCGCCATTCCTGTTCTTTTATTTCTTACCCAGAATGCTCTCTTCCATTCAGGTTGCGTGTATATCACCGATCGCGGTTACATGCATAATACAGCATATGCAGAGGAACGAATAAACACTACATTCCCTCCCCTTCTAGATTATTATTACTCCAGTAGAATAAACCGATTGCTAACAGTATGCACTATATGTGGAAGTATTCTTTTATCAAATCATTACAGTCTTCCCAGTCCAATAGTCCATTTAGGAATCATCAAAACACCAAAATAACTATCAATAAAACTGTACTGTCCATAGTACTAGGATAAAGTAACTGATAATATTTCGCACTGAAATGTTCTGGTTACATACTGAAAATAATCACTGATTCACAACATGTGGCCATTTACACTCTGGCCAAAATCAAACACTGTCCTACTTATAACCAGTGTCATAATCCGTGAGGTGGATAGGTGGACGACGAATACGTGATGGTCGCGGAGAACCGGCTATTGGACTACCGTTTACGATTGGACTCAGTCCAAGAGGTGTTTCATGGCTAACAGCATCATTAATCAGGTCATCACCTACATCAATTACATCATCAAGATGGACCATGTCGTCATCATCCTGCACAGTTACTGTTCCGCGTTCCCACCGGTTGATCAGCAAAGTACTTTTTCAGGTGCGCCACATTGCGTCGATAGCGTGCTCCTTCAGGCGACTCCACTATAATCTCACTACCACACCGTCCCACTACTGTGTATGGCTCGTGCTCAAATCGCGTTGAGAGTTTGTTGCCTGGATACCTCCTTTGCATCAACACTCTTTCCCCAAGTTCAATGTCAGTCTTTTGCGCGCCGCGATGGGTGTCTGCATACTCCTTCCCTTTCTGTCTGCGATTAGCATCTCTCTCTCTCACGTCACTGTCGCGCGAAGTCGCGTCCTCCTTGCTCGATCACGCCTAGTCGTATGACATCTGGTTACTTGGTACGAATTTTCCTGCCAAACAGCAGCTCGGCCGGGCTCACACCTGTTGACGTGTGTGGAGTCGACCTATACGCGGTTAGAAACTTGTTCAGTTCCAACTTCCAGTCTCGGTTTTGAGCCTGTGCGATTTTCATAGATTTATACAATGTCCTGTTTTGCCTCTCGACCTCGCCGTTAGCCTGCGGCCACAACGGCGTTGACTTCCTATGTTCTATGTCGTTCTCCTTCATGTATGATTCGAATTTGTCTGAAACGAACTGAGGTCCGTTATCAGTCTTTACTGATGACGCCAAGCCGTGAGTAGTGAACATGTTATCCATTGACGCAATCACTTTCTCTGACGTCACAGACTTTAGCACGTCGATTTCGAAATAACGGCTGTAATAATCGACGACTACCAGCAGATATTCCCCCGTTGGCATTGGTCCAAGCAGATCTGCTGCTAGATCCTGCCAGGGTCCTGTTGGCAACACCGTTCTCTTAAGCGGTTCTGGCGGAGAAAGCGTCCCTACCAATTAACACTCGTGACACGTTCTACACACGTGTTCTGCCGCACGATCAATACCAGGCCACCACACCTTGGTTCGTAGTCTTTGTTTAGTCTTAACAATGCCCTGGTGGCCCTCATGTGCCAACTGTACAGTTCTCTTCATCAGTGAGGTTGGTATTACTAATTTAGTCCCTCTCAAAATAAGCTGCCCCAGCGTCGTTAGTTCATAACGTACTAAACATGTGTAACCCGATGGACAGCTTTGCCAGTCACCTGTCTGGACACACTCTCTTAAGTCCGCGAATTCTGGATCGTTCGCAGATTCTCGTTCGATTTCTTCGACCGGTATTGCTTGTGGTGCTGCGTTCACCGCCACAAATCGGATGTATTCATCTTCGACGTTCACACGTTTTTACGAAATGTCCGTCGTCAGACGCGACAAAACATCTGCGATGTTCTTGGAGCCAGGTATCCAGGTCACGACATACTTGGACTCACCGTTCAATGCGTGCTGAGGGTTTCGACGTTTTGGAGTAAATCCCCTCCAACGGTTTGTGATCCGTCAACATCTCGAATTCAATACCATATAAATATGCGTGGAAACGCTCGCATGCCCACACCAATGTGAGAGCCTCCTTCTCCGTTTGGGAGTATCTGCGCTCTACATCAGTTAGGCTCCTGCTGGCGTAGCTCACCACACGTCTGTTCTCTCCTTGCTCCTGCAGCAACACAGCCCCTAAACCGACTGGGCTCACGTCTGCCACGATCTGCGTCTTGGCATCCTTGTCGAAAAATGCCAGCGTGTCTGCGTCCACTAATTTCTGTTTCAATTTCTGAAACGATTGTTTTTGTTCCCAACCCCAGGTAAACGGAACTGATTTTCTCACCAGTCGTCTCATTGGTTCCGAAGTTGTCGTCATGTCTGGGATGTACCGTGCACAAAAATTCACAAGCCTTAGAAAACTGCGCACTTTGGCTGCCGATTCTGGCTCTCTGGCTTCAGTTATGGCCTTGACCTTACTTTCGGCTGGGCCAATCCCTTTCTCGGACAGGATATGTCCCATGAATACGAGCTGCAACATTCTAAACTCGCATTTGTCTTTGTTGAGAGTTAGTCCCTTTTCTCTCAATCTCTCGAACACCTTGACCAGTCTCTGATCATGTTCCTCCATTGTTCGCCCGTGAACAATGATCTTGTCGGAAATATTGTGTGCTCCCTCACACCATTGGATTTCCTGCTGGATAATATGCTGGTACAGTTCTGGAGCCGAACTTATCCCGAACATCAATCTTTTATATCTCAACAGCCCCTTATGTGTTGCGAACGTTGTTATACCTCGCGAGTCTGGTTCTAACTCGATCTGATGGAACCCGTACTTTAGGTCGAGCTGGCTATACACTGTGCTCTGGTTCATGTTTTGTAGAACTTCATCTACAGTCGGAATTATGTGCCGCTCACGAATCACAGCCTCGTTAGCGCGTCACATGTCAACACATAATCTTATGTCTCCCGACGATTTCGGCACGACCACTACCGGGCTTACCCACGGTGTCGGTCCATCAGTTTCTTCAATGATGTCCATGTCCAACAGTTCCTTCAATTTGTCTTCCACTCTGTCACGAATACCAAACGGGATACGCCTGACATTTTGTGCTACTGGTTTCACATTTTCGTCAATGTAAATCTTACAGGTAGTTTTTCAACTTACCAACCCTCGAAGCAGTCCTTGTATGTATCTACAATGTCAGCGTTGTCAGACATCTCAATTTTATTGATGTCTAGCCCAACTTTAAGAATCCCCAACTGTTCTGCAGTTTGACAACCCAAGATAGGTTGTCCGTTGCCCTGAACGACTACAAACTCTGCCTTCGTCTGCCGTCGTCCGACTTCTATGTCTGCCGTGAATTTCCCCAGTGTGTGAAGTGGGGTCCTCGACCCGTATGCATACAACAGTGTGTCAGATTTCTCTGAGGTGCAAACGATTTTCTGTCGTTTCAGCGCCTCCCACGTGTCCATGTTGACGATATTGCACGTCGAACCCGAGTCAACTAGTACTTCGGATGACACACCGCCAACTTTGACACCGATCACACACTTGCTGTGAACCGTATCCGTGACTACAGTGTTAACAGAAAATGCATAGTCAGATTCTTGGGCCTTTTCGTCTCGTGTCTCCATATTTCTACAATCGTCACGCTTCCATCCTCTTCCACTTCGTGATCCTCCTCTCCCTCGTGCACCCGAATCTCCACGTGCACTGGGTGCACTCGAACGTCCATGTACACTGGGCTGACCACGAACCTGCTTGGTATTGCATACGATTGTAAAATGTCCGATATGTCCACATTTATGACACGTCGAATTGCGTGCTGGGCAATTGGGGTCACGTGCATATTGGCCCTCGTTATTACAACGAAAACACTTATTCTGTCCGGCATTCGGGTTCTTACCCCTTTGTTTCCACTTGGGCCTTGCCCCATCTTGTATGGCGTTCACGACAGGTCTGTGCTCCATCTGACGAGCCTGCACTTCAGCAACTTCCATTGCTCGTGCTAGACCTTGCAATTTTCAGATCTCCTCCCCTTTCTAACAGCTTTCTACGTAGCACTGCCGACCTACACTTGTCGATCACCTGATCTCGTATTTGCTCATATTTCTTGTCCTGAAAGTCACACATCTCTGCCTGGCACGTCAATCTCGTAACGAACTGGTCTATGGTCTCACCTTCGTCTTGCTTCATCTGTCTGAAAACATGTCGTTCATACGGAATGTTGACGAGAGGTGAGAAATACTTATCCAAATTTCCCATATAGCTACCGTGTATTCGTCCTGCGAATCATCTTCTTCTGACACTGGTACTTTCGGTAATGTGTCGAATAGTTCCTGAACGTCCATCCCTGCATAATGTAACAACATTGCCTTCTTTTGAGGAATGTCCGTTACCCCTTTTGCTGCCACAAAATACTCAAAGGATTTTCGCCAACGTTTCCAGCGTGGTGACACATTGGTCGAATCGCCTTTGCAGTTAAACGGTTGTAAACCGGTAACCTCTAGCTGCATCGCCATTCTCGTCTTCTCCACAGTGCCTGCGATCACTAGTCTGTTTCCTCTATCCTCGTCGCCAATTGTAACGTCGATGGCACTAATTATAACGTGATTTAACACAACACGAATTTAATCGGTCACAAACCAAGCAATGGCTAATACCGCCATTCCTGTTCTTTTATTTCTTACCCAGAATGCTCTCTTCCATTCAGGTTGCGTGTATATTACATGCATATTACAGCATATGCAGAGGAACGAATAAACACTACACTAACCCTAACCCTAACACTAATTACAATTTAATTTTAAAAATTAACTAGATTTGTATCAACCAATGGGACGTTGGGAGGTATGCAGGCCCTAGCCGCGAGTTCTGTTGCGCTGCTCTCACCGAATGTGACTCCGCTGGCATTGCTGTCGCTGACATCGACCTCATCTGTTCCTGTGCATACTCGAATTGCTGCGCAATAGTGATTGCCTTCCCCATAGTCGGTTTTCTCCCTCGTTCACCAGCTTCTCTCTGACCTTACTGTTCGAGATACCAAATACAATTCGGTCCCGTATCATTTCATCCAGATCACTGTCATTACAACCTTTTCCGAGAACTCGAAGCCTGGTTATGAACTGCTCTACTGACTGCTCTCGCTGAACCTCGTTGTTAAACTTGTACCTCGCAAATATCGGGTTCAATTTATAGGCTGTATGTAAGACTGGAAATTCTCGTAGTAGGTAGATAGTTTTTTCGCATCATCTTCCGAAATGTTCCATGTGTTGTAAATTTCTCTCCCTCTGTCTCCAATCCACAGCATGAAATATATACTTGCATTTCACTGCTTCATCTTTATCCGTCAACGGGCCATCAAACACGAGTTTAATGTGCTGCTTAAATCGTTTAAACGCTTCTGGCAGGTTAAACGAGTCCCACTCCATCTTAGGCACGGGAATCCCAGCTAGCATTTTTATGGTCAAGCTTGCTCTGTTTGTGCCACAGGCACTCGCGACTGGCTGGTCGGGGTTCGATAAATAGCAACCCCGTTCTGCGCTACCGTAGTGTGTATAAGAGTATATATATGAGAGTACTACGGTAGGCACAGAACGGGGTTGCTATTTATCGAAACCCGACCAGCCAGTCGCGAGTGCCTATGGTTTGTGCTAGAGAACTGCTTGTGCTGGTACAAACACTGGTGCCGCGAACCAGTCTACGTTTCCTGCAGAACGCTACAATCTGGTCGGTGCTATAAATACTGATCGGCAATGTGCAGCCAAAAATCACCTCAAATCGACATGAGTTTTATTACGATGTCAATAGGCAATAAATTAGACGGGTCGTAGGGCGACCTGAGCCCGACTTTACGGAACTGTGTAGTAGGGTCGTTCACACAGTAATATACACACTTATAATACAGTAATATATTAAAATGAATCTAATTTAATATCGATTTATAAATTTAATTCAGTTATGTGAAGATGTGTATGTACATCAGAAGTAGATAATAAGTTCCCTATTATCTACCTCTGATGTACATGTATTTGTGATCGCAGACACTTGTGAGAAATTTAGCTCGGTTGATTCTGAACATTCTATACTGCAGCAATTAACTGGGCTGTAATCTGCAGTGCCCTCACTCCCCACGATAACCCCTGCGACATAAGAACTTATCTCCTGAACTTATTATTATGCGGTTATAAAAACACTGGGCTATGCTACATGCTGCAATTGATTTCTTAGAGTGTCGCGAGGTTTTGTTCGTGTGGCGATTCATGCATTGAGGGAGTTCATGCCCTCGGCTCTAGATGTTTTGCGACCTCTTGTCGACGCTCCTCTTTCATAAAGTTTTACTTTCAGAGAGTGTACCGTATGTTTGTCATAACTCGCCATAATCTATCCCGGGTGTGCATCCTGGTACGCGGATAATCTTGCACTGATACAGATGTGCTGCCCTCCAGCGACAACTTGTTCTAGCAGCTAACCCACACTGTGGCTAACCCCATTGGCATTGAAAGATGTGGATAGTCGAGTCCCTACATGGGGCAGCCATGTTGGGTGTAATTAGCCACCCCCTCTAGCGGCGAAGAGTGGCGCAAGAGAAATGAACAGCTGACACTGTGTGTGAGACTGGAGCAAAGATCATATATTGGGTTAAAGGGAGAATTGTACTATCAGGAGCTCTTAAAGTTAGGTATAAATATGTTCGATTTGTTCTGATATGTTGCTCAAAATATAGGATCGGCTATGTGTGATCTCGGTGTCACTTTCCCCCGGGCGTAGAGGGAGGGTACCGCTACGCGGCAGCACTAGTGTTAGGATTAGGGTTAGGGTTAGGGAAATAAGGCCATGTCTAGCATGGAAGTATGACTGTGGATTCTTTCTGTGTAAGATTTGGACTTTGAAGTGTACGAAGTGACTAGTGCTGCCACGTAGCGGCCCCCTCCCTCTACGCTCAGGGGAAAGTGACACCCCCTGTATCTTTCCAACTGGACGGTTCATTGCGTAGCCGTTTTACACCCGATGCTCCCGCTGCGCCACCTGCTGACAAAGCTAGCGGCTAACCCCATTGGTGAGCAGGGAAAACAGAAAACACACACTAATAGACACTAGACGATCTGCAGCCGGATATCCGCGCGAAGCGCGAACAGCGCCGCGGAGCGGCACTTTTTATCGGATTCGCTGCCCTGTTTAAAAGAATTTTTCGACAGTGCCCTATGGGTAGAGGATAAAGCGCTATAATCGGTGAATTGAGAAGTTGTGGCGATTCCAGAAGCCTTTCGAGTATGCACGTAGGGCGAGAATAAATACAAATGCTCGTAATTGCTCCTTTGCTGGTCGGCGCTTTTGCTTTTCGTCTAGAAAAGCGAGTTTGCATTTCTTCCGTTTCACGCCGTTAAATTATTCTCGTACATATGCCGTCCCATAGATGGCGCGACGAGGCCCTTTACGAGGCATTTTCAAGGTTTTTCTCACTTAGACTGCCGCGCGGTGGAGAGTTCCACACGCTGCACTAACTATAAGTTTAGTGTAGCGAAACATACTTGGCCGAGTTAAGGTCCGTACCAGTCTACCTGCAATCGTGACGTGGAACGTAGCCATCTTAGTTCCCCCGACGTTGATTGGGTAAGCCCGTTGATTGATGTTTGTTTACACTGAGAATTTCCACTAGATGTGATGTTATCTGGAAAAGCTCCGCCTTCGTGGCGTCAGCGCGTGGCGTGGCGTCGTGGCGAGAATTTCGTCAGTCTCTGTGTGATTTCGCGTGACACAGCTCGGTTACGAACAGAGACATTATGTTTTCATAAGAAGTCAACACTGTTCTTCAAATAGAAACAAAGATCGAAGCTGTTGGATGAATATTTGTTTTGAAATCGTTTTGAGAGCGTACGTACAGCATTTTTGCATATATTACATCGTCCCAGCGTGCTGCTTATAGCAAAAACTTCGTCTACCCCTGCGGTCGAGGGGGGCCCTGATTGCTCTTGTGCAGAAAAACTTCGCAGAAAAACTTGGAACTCGCCTGCTCGCAGTTACCTTGACGGTCCAACCCCTATATATACGCATATATAGCACCGACTCCTATGGCTAAGCCTATCAACAACGCCTAGGATATAGTCAACATACTAGGCTACCTCTATGTGATTATTATGTGATTATTACGTCGTCATTGTTTGTATATAGGTGAACATTTCTATGTACATGAATAGAGGCATAGGCCCAAGGATAGATCGAACATGGATAGATAGATCGTATTATAATATAAAACCAAGCTTATGCTTTCGCTGCAGCTGCCGCTCGTTATATGAAGCCGCTGACGCATAATAAAATACAATTCATAATAAAACTNTATATATATATATATATATATATATATATATATACGCCCTATATATATATATATTCACATAGTTATGTAGGTTTGATCAAGACTCTGATTTATACTGCGGCGTTAAGCGCCGTTACATTGATACAGGTAAAGAATTATATGAATCGTTACGTTTGACAGTTTCATGAACGTTATAAGCTAGCTACTAGGTGTGTCGCTACCGATCTCCTCGTCCCGTCCTCAGTTTCTTCTATTCTGAATGCACACCTGTCTGAATGCACATCTACATCGCGAATCCGCGGCTTCTTCCTTTCCCCA